AGTTTAGTAAGAATTTTCAGGGAGTGTCATCAAATTTGATTTAGAAGAGAAAAAATCATGATATTTAAAATTTCCCTGAACAATCACTGAAATCCGTAGTTTTTGAGCAGCAGAAATTCGATAAATTCCCAACTGATTTGAAATTTCAATAGAAATATGAATTTTCAATACAAAATTAGGCTGAATTTTCAATTAATTAAAAATTCAAGAATATATTCACCCGAATTTTACTGATTTCTATCAACTTTCATAGAATAATCGAACTGTAATTTACAGTTTTTCTTTATTTTCCTCATCAAATTCTGAATTTTTAATAACGCAATTCCTTGAAATTTTAGTGAAACTCCCACTTGATGAACACTGTGAGAAACAAAGCGAAATTCCATGCACAGTTTAGTAGTAATTTTCGGGAAGTGACAGTGAATTCGATTTACGAAAGAGAAAATCATGGTACTTCACCTTTCACGGAAAATCCAATGACATTCTAAGTTTTTGAGCAGCACGAAAACAAAGATTCTCTAACTGATTTAAGATTTCAATTAAAATATAATTATTCAACACCCATTTACGCAGTATTTTCAATTAATTAAAAATTCAAGAATATATTTACCCGAATTTTTCTGATTTCCATCAATTTTCATAAAATAATTCACCAGAAATTCACAGTTTTCATTAATTTTTCCCATCAAATTATGAATTTTTAATAATTAAGTTTCCTAAAATTTCAGTAGATATCCCACTTGATAAAAATTTCCAAGAAGTACACCGAAAATGTTATCCAAAAATCTTACACAGCAATTAAAATTCATGAAATTATCGAAAAACAAGAATTCTTGAATATTTCAACAATTTTCCATAAATAATTCATCAACAATTAATCTTCCACCCTGAAGATCATTTTTCATGAACCCCTCCCCCACCCGATAACCTCACGGGTCATTTTTGTTGAGTGAATAAATTGCGATTGTACTTTCCAAATATTCTCCATCTCACCCTTCAATTTATTTACCATCATAAAAAAATTATATAATAGAGGGGCGAGAAGACTGATAAAATTGGTTGATCCATCGTTATGCCTGAGTGAGTATCACCGTGAAGTGCACCGGACATGTCATACAAAAATCTTAAACAGTGAGCTAAATTCGTGAAATTATCGAAAAACAAGAATTCTTGGATATTTCAACAATTTTCCATAAATGATTCATCAACAATCAATTTTCCAACCGGAAGATCATTAATCATGAACCCCATCCGGTAACCCCACGGGTCATTTTTGTTGAGTGAATATATTGCGATTGCACTTTCCAAATTTTCTCCATCTTACCCTTCGATTTATTCACCATCATAAAAAAAATTATATAATAGACAGGCAAGAAGACTGATAAAATTAGTTGAATCGTTATGCCTGAGTGACTATCACCCCGAGTATAACGGGGGATCAACATCGGCATAATCTGACGTGGCGCCACAAACTTTACCAATAAAAGTTAACGCGACAGATTCTTCCAGGGCAACGGGGATTGGCCGTGTCATTCGGTAAAATAGTTCATGGATATAAAATCGAGTTCTTATTCGCTGGATTTTCGCAACTGAATGGTTAAAACTCCAATCATACGAATGCCCCCAACTTCGCATCAACGTAAAATTGAATAGTTCCAGTTGTAATGAAATAGACCGGCTAATGTGGCATTTCAAACAGTAAAACCGTATCAAGTTGAATATAATGATGGCCAATCGCGGTAATGTGTCATAACGATGACAATTATACAGCAATAAACTGCCGAAGGAAGTTGTAATTTTACGTTCGTCATGCTAAGCGGTCATAACAATGGAACAAAGGCTCCAACAATAGTTTAATGTTTTCTCCGCCCCGTGACGTCACCCCTCCAAACGCATATATGGACTATAAGGGCATAAGAAAATCGATATTCTGGTCAACGTGTCATTTGTGGAATACCGAGAGCTCAGTCGAGTCACCTATTTTTATTGGCACACTAAAAGCTCCAATATTGGAGTTTATCACCGAATATGGATGACGGAAGAATGGCCGTATTCTCAATGGTTCTTTCTCCAAATGTTATATTCTTTCAATTTGGCGAAGTTGGTTATGTAACTTTGCATGGTGACGGTTATATTTTTAACTTGTTGGATATTTTGAAATTATTAGATTTGGTCGATACGGTTTAAGCTTTCAAATACTTATATCACAAATGTGGAATAAAATATTGGAACTATTTCGAATGCATCGCGAATATCTAGTAAGCCTGTTGCACTCCTGACTGAGTCTATTATCTCATAGACTCAGCCTATTCTCAGGTCATACGGAGCGCGTCGTCAGACTAGACGCTTCCAATTTCTGGTGGCACTTAATCCCCTAGCACCGAAGGGTCAACAATAAAAAAATCGCCCAAAAGAAAATTCTCTCCCCCGCTGGGAAAACTTATTAAATATGTAGAGGTTAGATCCTTATTTAAAAGCTACGCAGACGTCATGACGTCATTTTTAGAAAGTTGTGTCACACAAATGTGGAATCACTGATCCCAAATATTTAGAAGGCTTATCACATCTCTCACTGAGTATCATCTCATTCGTCTAGTCTCAGGTTACACGGAGCGCGCCGTGGGACTAGTCATTCCAAATTAGTTGTCGCGCGAAATCATATAAAATCGCAGTTGTTTCCAATTTCTGATGGCCCTCAGTACCCTAGCGCTGAAGGGTCAACAATAAAAAAATCTACCAAAAGAAAATTCTCTCCCCCACTAAGAAAACGTATCATATATATCGAGGTTAGGTCCTTATTAAAAAGGTACGCACTCGTCATGACGTCATTCTTAGAAAGTTGTATCACACAAATATGGAATCAATGATCCCAAATATTTAGAAGGCTTATCACATCTCTCACTGAGTATCATCTCATTCGTCTAGTCTCACGTTACACGGAGCGCGCCGTGGGACTAGTCATTCCAAATCAGTTGTCGCGCGGAATCATTTGAAATCGCCGTCGTTTCCAATTTCTAGTGGCACTCAATCCCCGCGCGCCGAAGGGTCAACAATCAAAAAATCTCCCAAAAGAAAATTCTCTCCCACTGAGAAAACGTATTGTATATACCGAGGTCAGGCAAAGTTCACGGTATTTGGGCTGGTAGAGACGCTGTTGGCTCGACTCCAGTGTTGCTCCGGCCAATCGACTTTCGTGATAGTCTTGCGGAAAACACGGGTCGGGTCTCACTGTGTATCTCAGTCGGTGGTGCACTCGAGGGTTTTCAGCCAAGAAGAAGGGGCGGAGATGAAAGAGTTTTTCCGTTGAAAAATTTCATGTGACACGAAGCCAAAAGAGGCGATCCATCAAAATCAACGGTAGGAGGAGTACATGCTGACCATGTACCCAACTTTTCTACTACCGTTGGTTCCTTTCTCTCATTGCACGAGGAAGTACATCACCAATCAAATATGTCGAGGAGGAGAGCGGGATGATGGCTAGGGTCATTGCGGGAGAGATGAACTATTGCAATTATTCGAATCTGTCATGACTCGTGTAAATTAGTTGATGTGCTCATTGATTTTGGATTGTTCACACAGAGAAAAAAATTCCAGTTGCAAGAAATAATTATGTAAATTATACACGGAGAGAAAAATGATTTTTGATAAAAATTATCCTACCGTTCTATAAAAGAGTATCATGAGTCATCGTTTCCTCATTTCTATCCCGAAATTTAGCAAGAATTAATAGATGATGATCAAATTTTATTCTACGTTAGAGAAATTTTATCCTGACGCATAATAAATTTTACCGGTACAGTAATTTTTACTCTACCGGTACGGTAATTTTTGTTTTTATCAGGATTAAATTTCTCTAACGTAGATTAAAATTTGATCATCATATATTTATTTTTACTAAATTTCGGGGTAGAAATGAGGAAATGATGACTCATGATACACTTTTATAGAACGGTAGTATAATTTTTATCAAAAATTTCTCTCCGTGTAGGATCCGTAGACAAACTATATGTTCCAGGTGAGAATATTTGATGAAGTGGCACAGATTTACTTGAGGAAAATTAACCAACGTGAAGGAAATGTAATATCGTTCACGGAAATTAAATTTTTGTCGTGAATATCAGAAATATTCGTAGAAGAATTCGAACTGTTGACAGGAAAAAATATAATCTATTGTACGACAATTATTTGATCTGAGAGAACTCCATAGGTTTATACTATAGAAAGAATACATTGACGAGGAAAGAATATTTTGTTCCCAAAAAAAATTGTCCACTCGAAATTATTCAGTTTTGCCGATAACACAGTTTTCGGAAAGAAAATTGTAGTTTCCTCTTGAAATTATTATTTGTTCCATGGAAATTATAAGTGTTTATTGGACAAAGATATACACTACTCAACAACATTCACTTGATAAAACCAGAGCCTCATATAATTCTCCGTAGAATGAATGTATTTACCCGAAGGACATATAAATGGTGGAAACTTTCTTTTTTGTCCACGAGTAAATTAATTCAACACAACTAAGGAGATCTTCAGAGGAACATTTTTTGGCAGAATTAATTTTTTCCTCAGTGCAGGGAGACGGAAATTCCGCAATTTACAAAAATTCTCAAGTGAAAATAAATATTCACTGCAAAATTTCCTTGAATTTTCAGGGAATTCTTTTAAAATTCTTGGAACTCCAAAAGATGTCTTCAGGAGAACATATAATTTTTTGGCAGAAATAATTTTTGTTCTCAGTACCCGCACCTCATGGACATTTTTATCACATTTACAATTTCACCTGAATTTCAAGAAATTGTCTTTCCATGATCTATTTTTCCGGAAAATAAAATTAATTTGATTTCCATCAATCCTACAGAAACAAATGAAATTTTTCTGGGTTCAAATTCCGTAATTAAAACGACGATGACTGAATTTCCGCTCGAGGTGACCATTGCCCCCGCAATCACCCTATCCCAGAGACAAACGTGGCATACAATACGACTGGAAGATGGTACCTCTCGAGAATGGGTGAACAGTGCCTTCAGCATACAGGGAGATGGAGTCCACATTGGTGGGCTTGGGTTGTGTAATGGATAGTAGGCTCTCTCACGGTGGGTGTCACGTGCAGTATGCCGAAACCACGCCGTCCGCACACTCTGGCCTCTGTTAATCAAAACGTGAAACGCCGTATGAGTTTCTACATTGCATATCGGGTGGAGAGGGTGTGGACCACTCGAGATCAGGTGTCTAGGTTACGTGATTAAGCGGGGGTCGGAGTAGGGCGAGGGGCAGGGGAGGAGAGGGAGTTTACGGAGGTGAGTGCAAGGGATACTATCCAATTATCTGATATGCAGATGAAACCCGTTTGGTGAAATGAAGAGATAATTTTTAATTTTCGGGAGAAGAAATTCTGTTGCGATATTTGTTTCAATTACGGAGAGAATTTTGGTGGTATCGTCGGGGATTCTGGGGACGGAGAAAAAAATTCCTGGTTTCCAGAAAAAATTTCGGAACTTCAGTGGAGCGAATCAGAGTTTCAGTACTTTTTCACCCTATATCGGGAAAAATGTGCGAGACTAATAGTGAATTTTTCTGCGTTGCATTCATACACTGTTAGAATTTTTTTGAAAATTAAGCAATAGTTGCACTTGAATTCTCAATTTTGTGAATCCAAATTAAATTTAAAATGAAAATTTCGATTTTCACAAAGATCGATTTGTCACAATTTTCTGGGTAATTTTTATTCAACTCTTCTCTCCGAGTAGTACTACCAAATATTATTCGTGATAGATTCCTTAAAAATCAGTGACATGTTCCTGAACATCAGTGACATGTTCCTGAAAATAATAAAAAATTCTCTGTATTTTCTTTGGGATGGATGGGGGAATGACTTTGATGACCGCTTTGAAAATTCGGTTCTCAGGAGTTGGAATGGGGCTATCGTATTGAGTTTCTGCGTGGAGTCTCCATCAGGGGTTTCGGAACATTTTTGCTTTTTTGTTGCGGGTATGGGAACTGTCAGGTTTGCGTGTGGACAAAGGAGATCAGATTACTCACGTCGACCCTCTAAGGGTAGATAATATTGTGACACACTTCATAACAATATTGAAGTGTCTGGGAGTGATAATATCGCCCGAGTTTCCAGCTGAATAGATTTATGAATAGAATTATGGAAATACAGGGAGAGTATTGTTGTACCATCGTAAATTAGCGAACGAATGATAATCTATAACATATAGGGGAGACCGGGGCAAAGCGGGGTGGCCGGGGCACAGTGGGGTACATAAAAAAAGGCCGAAATTGAGAAATTCAAGGGGTTAACGAAGGGTCGATCAGTGATCAATGAAAAGTAAAAAAACGCGAAAAAAAACGCGAATAATACTAAGCAAAAATTTAAAAAAAAATGGAAGAGCTCTAGAAATTCTTTTAATTCTTTCAAACACCGAGATAAGCCGCCATATTGGGTATTTTAATTAAAACTGAGTTCTAGCAATGATCTAGACTCAGATAGTCAGATAAATTTGCGAAACCCATCCCCCGATGGTCGGAAACGACGGAAAAAATAAAAAATGAGAACAATGGAATCCCACATGCTGTGCATACTCTCTATTTACTGATATAAACGTCACTTTGCTTCTGAAGCAAGAGAATAAAAACAATCAATTAGAAGTATTAGGATTTCACTTCGTAAAATTGAGATGAATAAGACAAATCTAATGAATAAATTCGAAAATTTCAAATTTTGAAAAAAAAAATTTAATCGAGGAAAAAATGGCATTTCAGGAAAAAATGAATAATGAATTTGAAAAACAAAATTAATTTGCCGAATAACGGAAATTTTTTAAAAAGTATAGAAAATCGTTACAATGTAATCTTCTGTTGGTGAACATGAAATCGGAGAAAAAGCATTCTCTTATGCGTATCCGTAAACATCATAATTTCAGTAACGAAGCGGTAAAACGGTTCAAGTCGTTTTTGACTATTGGTCTCTTTTTGATGAATATCTCCGAATCTAAGGCAAATAGAAAAATTTTTGTTAGAACCTTTTTTGTAGAGCGAATTCTGAGCTACAAAAGAGGTATTGACGAAAATTTCGCTATCTCCCTTAGATTCGAAGTGATGGATATCCAAGTACTTTTGCTATTGTTTCTCCAGTGAAATGCTTTTCTACTCTTGCAGTCTGACCTTCAAGTTTTTATTTAAGACCCGATTTGACCCTAAGTTTCCGGACATGTTACAATGATTTTATTGGTTAAACTTTGCAGTTCTAAATTCAAATTGATATTGAACCGTTAAAAAATATTTTTTAATCTGAAAAAAAAATTAGAAAGTTTGCTTTTGGAGGAAGATTGATGAGATACTTGAAAATTGCAATTTTTGACAATTATGAGCATTTTCTGTGAATAATTTATAAACAATCAATTTTCTACCCAGAAGTCGATTTCCTGTCTAAAAAAATGAGATTTCCAAAAGTTTAAACAATTTCAATTATTTATTAATAAAGAAAGAATGTTTAAAAAAATAATAATTCTGTGCAAAATGTAATTTTAATGAAAAAAAGTTACTAATTTGAACGAAGTACTTCGATATCCTTTAATCATTTCACCGTTTCGATACTGATTCCATATGCAGTTGTCTGTGATGGACAGAATTCACTCCAGAGGTAATTCCACACCAATGCTTTATTTTAACTCCACTGAGACATTCCCCCCATGCAATATTCAACGCGTAACCATCATTTCATCATTACCAAGAAATTCAAATTTAATGATGAAAATTAGTAATTCATATCTCCTTTCTGTGAATCCCTCAGAAAACGAATTTATTCAAGAATCAAAAGTAATTTTTCACATAAAGCCGAGAATAATTAAATTCCCCTGTCGTATGATATTCGAAAAACCATTGTTACATTCAAAGGAATAATGAAGCCATGACTGTATTTTTCCACTTTTTCGTTCTCACATTCGACTCTAATGAATTTCAGAGTACCTCCCGCTCTCCTGCCTCCTCCCTCCCGGCCCTCTCAACCGCATTCTATTTCTGCATCTCCTCAACGAATCCACGTTTTCTCAATTGAAAACGCGATTCTCAATCTCTCAACGACTGACAGTTAATCCTCATAACTGCAAGATTTGTTATCTTCTGTGTCTGAATGGAGATCGATAAATTTTCCTCGTGAAACCGCGATTTTTCCATGCCTTGTATAAAATAAGTAGATTCAACAGCTTTTACCTTTTTTAGAATATTCATTATTTTCTGATCAATTTTATAAGAACACCATCCATATAGACCGGAAAATGCAGAGGTTTAAAATATACTTTTTTTGTTTTTAAAATTCAGAATATTGATTTTGTCTTCACAAATAATATCACAGAACTAATTACTTGTGTCAAACACAGGGAAAAAAAAGTTTTTGGTCTCTTGTAACAGTCTCTGGGTTTAGGTTCTTCAACAAAATATACTGCACTGTTAGACATTTTTAGAAATTTCATGGACAATACGATAGTAAATCTTATGAGAGTGGCATTGATCGAATTTAAGGGGAAAATGATTATGAAATTTCATGTTTTAGGTAGAATTGAAAAAAATTCATGTGTTTTCAGGGAGAGTGAGATGGAAATTTCACATTTTCATTGAATTTTCAATGGACCATAAATATTCAGAAACAAACTTACATAAATTTTCAAATTTTCCCTGAATTTTCTGAATTTTCCCGGAATAATTTAACTCCCGGTGGCTTGGCGCAGTGGGTAAGTTCGTTGCCTCACATGCGAAAGGGTCCGAGTTCAAATCTCGGCCGGGTAGAATGGTGCGATCTAACCATTTAAAGTCTTGATCATCATCGCAGTATACCCTAACTGGGTCGAAGCGGTGTAAAATAATGATGAAAAAAAGGAATAATTTAACTGCAAAATCAAGTATTTTATTGATTTTCAGATCATTTGAACCAAAAATGAATGGAATACTTGATTTTTCAATGACAATATTCCCTGAAATTTCAGTGCAAATTAAACACAATAAAAATTTCCAGGATTTGGCACGGAAATTCAGTCGAAAATTTCTCACAGCGTGGATTCCAGTGAAATTTCTCTACTACTTTTGACAAAAAAAGGTTTGTTTGATACAAGAAAATATTCTCTTGTCAATTTAAGAAATCGCGAAATCTCCTGATGAATAATTTCGTTCTCAGACTGAATTGATAATGAAAGTGTTCGTCGCGCAATGGAAACAAGAATTTCTCAGTTGGAGATGATGAGTGATCAGATCAGGAAAGTGTGAATTCTCTCAATCCATTAAATTCTAGATATAACGCAAACTATATGAATTTACGAGAAGACTTACGCTAACACTTAAAAATTTTTTCGGGACAAGAGAATTTCATCCTGTTGAAAGACTTCTTTCTCTCAGTGTGAGCACAAAATTATTTACCAGGAGACTTCACGATTCTAGAAATTGTCAAGAGAATATTTTCTTACGTCAAAGAAATCATCTTTGTCAAAAGTAATTCTTTCTCTCAATGTACCCCCCTTCATGAATGAAAATTTCCACCCCTTCTTTCCATTAACCCCCGACCCCGACCACAGCATCCCTAATATGAATACTTTTTCGGTCTTCCCGCGAAAGCCCTGAATACTCTCATACTCCACATTATCTCCCTCAGAACGAGCCACAAAGTCTGTCCACCCTCCGTTCTAGTAACCGAAACAAAACTTTTTCTTTGTCCCCTATTATCCCGAATCCCCGGTAATCACCAAGTTCATACCAAGAAAGTTTGCGCTATCCGATGCTTCGTCGCATTTAAGCAAGCACTTCCACCCCTAGCATTCCTCCATTTGCCTATTGCAAATGCTAATCGTAATAGCATCCACATAACGCTACGTGAGTATTAACCATCACATCTTGTTTACCCCCTCCCCCTCCCCTTCCTAGTGCATTCCACACTAATCAGTGGGTTGAAACCGCTGATTATTGGATTATCATCTTGGCCCTGTACTCCACAATCCAACCATAATCACTATCGCTGATCGTACATGATTACAAATTCAAGAGTGGAGTGGGGGAGTGGCGCATCAAGCACGCGTCAATGATCATTCACCGCATCTGACAATGGCTCGGCATTTACGACTTGCGGGGGAGAGGGAATCCTCGGGAACTACCCGAGGGGAAGTTCAAATGAGGCACGAGTTGGGGACTGGTTCATCATACAGAGTGAAGAAGAGATTTTTGTTTCCCGTGAAAATCCCGGAATTCCACGCTGAGAGAAAAAATTACTTTTGACAAAAGTGACTTCGTTGATAGTAGAAAATATTCTCTTGTCTATTTCTTGTTAATTTCAGGATGTTAGTCACAGTTTTAAGGGGAGAATACTATGACTTTTAAAACGCGAGCTATTGGGGTGAGATTTCTCATGCATTGAAGATAGATTAAATGTCTAAAAACGAATAATTAGTGCAAAAAAATTAATTGTTTATTAAAAATAGTCCAGGGACTCCAATTTTTGAGCTACAGAGGTTTTTTTTTTCAAAATTGTGGAAAAAATGAGTATGATAATAATTACGAATTAGTTTTTTGAAATTCGACTACTACATACCTAGTTCCGTTTTGTTTAATATAATATAATATATATATAATATAATATAAATATATAATATAATGTTAATAGGCAGAAGAATGATCCTTAAAATATTTAGAAAATATTCTCGATTCTTTCAGAAAAAAATCTCTATAGCTCCAAAATTGGAGGCCTTGGAGTATTTTCAACATTTTAAGCGTCTGCGGGGCAAACGAACAACGAACAATTAATTTTTTGCTTTAATTATTCGTTTTTATATATATAATCGTTTTTCAATGTATGAGAAATCTCTTTCCAATAGCCCGCGACTTTTAAAACTCATAGTAGTCTTAAAATGTTCATATCGTCATTAAAAATGCATAAATTGTAGTAATATCTTGATATTTCGCTGAAATATCGGCAATTAAATGAATATGTATAGTGAAAATGGCATTGATCCTATGCTCATTTTGCAACCAACTGTCAACTGGTAACGGACTAAACGGATGACAAAAATCATTTAAAAGGTTGGAGTGTCCAATGGAAATCTAATTTTATGCCTCGAGATATTTTTTAATATTGTTTTATCACAAAATAGGATACTCACGATGTAAGTAGTTCGGGTATAACGTTTCCATATCACTAAAATCACGATACGAGGATAGGGACATGTGCCAAACGTGCATGGGGACAAGTGGGCGAGCGTAAGGACATGGGACTTTTCACATTTACGGACGATTATTTAAAAAAAAAATAGTAATTATCATGATTAATATAAGTAAATTCCAATTATCATGGTTTTACTCTCTGATATCTAATTTAAATCATCGCATCTTCACACTCATTTCGATAGAAATATTGGACTAATGTTGTGTTCACCTTATGTTAGACGAGCGTAGGATCATTTACCTTATAGCTCCCATGAAATTAAAAAAAAATTCTAATAGCGTAGATTAATTTTCTATAAAAAAATGAAACACTTACCCGTTGAGATAACTCCGTGAAGCCGTCAATTTCCCAGGGTCAACCTTAATCCCTTCTCGCATTTAACCTCGAGCATTAACACATTTCTCGACACTGCACATCACGAAAAATCTCAGAACGCTACCGGCAAAATGCTCTACAAAATTCACACGTTTTATTCGGTATTCTTTACTACTGTGATATCACAATAACCATTCACAAGTGGATTTATCCGGCAATCGCTTCAACCGCACCTGCTCGATCTTGTCCCCCACTATTTCTCGCACAACTGGTTACAAATACGATCACCACGACCACTTTCACAATAACGCCACTGTACCGGCGTCTCCAGTTCCAAAAACTTGAGAATTGGTTCGTCAGACTATAGCCCTCATATTGTCTGAAATCAAAAAGACATTCGTTTCCGTTATTATTCATTGAATAGTTGAGGGTAAAACGCAATCAGATGATCTCACATTTAACTTCATGAGCGTTTGGAGAACTTTGTGGATTCTGAGAGAGATGTCGGAATTTTCTACTTTTTTTTTTCAATAGATTGAAGGTAAATTATGAATACTTTGCAATCTTCCTTGAGTGTCAGAATATTTTCTGAAAATTCACTTGTTCTGAAGTCGATTTATCAACTCCTCAGGAAAATATTGAAATTCGCAATGACTTTGATATGTTTCTTAAAGTCCCTCGGGATAAACATTTTCAGTCTATCGGAGCTCTCCAAGACTGTGAGAGACTAAAATCGGTCTGCCTGGGTCTCCCGTAACTGGTTTCGCGTCTCAGAGAGTCTTTGGTGAGAGACTTCAGTCTATCTGAGACTTCGCCAACACAGTAGAGACTGGAGTCTCTCATTGAAAGATAGGGACTTAGAATTTTCGGCACTGATAATCAGGATATCGCTAAAATGAATTATTGATTCATTAATTATTACTTAAATTCACACTGGAGCAAGTATAATTTAGTACAGGGGATGACTGGGGGGGGTTAATTAATTGGACAACGGCGCGAGATGGGATAATTTGGTGATCGAGTGATGGGTAAATTATATCGTGGGGTAAAATGGGATGAGTGGTGCACTAAATGATAGGCTAATTAGCTAGTGGGGTAAAACGGGGAGGTGAGGTAGACTTGAACAGCCTGGTCGTTGGGCGAATCTGAGCCGGGGGGCGGGGGGGGTGAAATAGGACTACAAAGTGAATTGGACGGCGCACTAACCTGGCTATGGGGTTAAATGGGATAGTGGGGTGAGATAGAATAACGGGTTAAAGTGGATCCGCTTTAAACCCTTATTCTGTCTAACCCCATTATCTCATTCTCAATTCACCCTGTCCTCTTTTGCCTTGTTGTCCTATTTCGCCCCCGGCCCAATTTTGTCTAACGTCCTATTTGCCAGGTTGTTCCATTATACCCACCGTCCCGTTTTACCCTACCCTCATATTTGCCAGGCTCACCCATTTTACCCCGCTATCGATTTTACCCGATTATCCCACTAAACACCATCATTTAATTTACCTGCCGCCCAATTTAACCCTCCGGCTAATTAGCCTATCATTTAGTTTACCCCATTTTACCCCACAATCTGAGCAGTGAATAGCATTGTCGTCCTGTTTACTCCGAAATTCAATTTTACACTCCACCATCTAATTTCATCCCATCATTCAATTTACCGAACCATAAATAAAAAAATTATAAAAGTAAATGAAAAAAGGAAAAAAAGGAAAAAAAATTGAATTAATTCACTACCGGGTTCACCCTCTACTTGAATTCACTTCGTTATTCCACTTCACCCTACTGTCGGAGTAACTATCGTTCCGATTCACTTTAAGGTTTTATTTAACCGCTATCCCATTTTGCCCCGCTGTCTAATTAGTCTACTCCGCCCGAGTATCCCATTTTGTCCCTTTCATTTCAAATATTCTTTTTATGCCCCTCTCTCCGTTATCCCATATTACCCCACTGTTCACCCTTCCTATCATATCAAGCGGGAAAAAACACAACCTGCCACAAACAGCTGCACAGCGCGGAAGATACTTATAAGAGTGATTTTTGAAGTCTTTCCACTCAAGAAACATGTATAGCAACCATATTGATTATGGTGTAAACTAATAAATCATAATAATAGCACAAGCAGTCATACCGATAGAGATCATAGCAATGGACGTCAATGAACGACTTTTTTGTATCAAATCACTCTAGATAAGGAATCTTTTGTTTATTGGAGAAATGTAAAACCCACCACTGCTTTTTGTACTTGGTTATTATGCCAATAAACGTCTTTTGAAAAGAAAGAGCGCGGAAGATACCGGGGTAACCTGCGATCACTGAAGCTGAGCAGTAGCGAGTTGGGTTAGTAAAAGGATGGGTGACTAAAAGGGAACACGACGGACCGACCGGCAGCAAATATCTGGAGAGCCGCTGGAGCGATTTCTTTTTTTTTTTCATAATTGTTGAATTCATGAATTAACTACATCAATATATTCAATTATTTTTTAACAATTAAATTGAAGGAGTTATTAGTGATTAATTAGTTATTGAGATATGTAAGAAACGCGGAGTCTCTCGCCGAGAGCCGTTGGGTAGCAGTCTCGACAGTCTTGCCGCGTCTCTCACGCGGTCGCTCAAAAGTATAGCTACTGGCGCTGAGCCATACTCTCTCATAGACGCAGACGCGAGTCTTGCAGACCCCAAAAAGACTAAAATTTTTCATCCCGGGCCAACATATTCATTGAATATTTCCTCGTTTTACAACAAATTTATCAATTTTTGTTTTTTATTGAGATGATCTCACGTTTAACTTCATCAGTTTTTAAGAAAAATTTCGTGGATTCTGAAAGAGATGACCGAATTTTCTACTTATTTTTTTAAATAGATCGAACGTAAATTAGGAAGTCTTGAAATCTCCCTTGAATGTCAGAATGATTTCTGGAAATTCACTTGTTCTGAAGTCGATTTATCAATTTCTCAGGAAACTATTTTAAATTCTGGAAAAGATGATAGACGTTTTCAGAGATTTTTCTAGTAAGGCGAAGTCAAATCGCACAGAGTTTGATATCTTCCTGAAATTTCATTATATTTATTTAATTTTCACTGGTCCTACAGTAAATTGATAAATTTTTGTTGAACATATTCAATATTTTGAGAGAGATGGAAAAGTTTTCTAGAGATCTTCCTAGCAGATCAACGAAAAATTCGAAATCTGCACTGTTAAAAAATTTTGGCTGAAATTTTCGGTACATTTGTCGTAAATGTTCATCACATTTTAGTTCTACTGAATTTTCAAGGAATTTTGTCATTGACAATTGAGGAAATTGTCCTCCAAATACCCCTCGACCTTCGAAATTTATCGGATTTTTCCCTCGAGCATCCCTGCAAAAAAAACGATCTTTTGTTTATAACGAAGCTTTCGGTAAATATCCGATAATTTTGAAGGTCTCGGGATATTACCACGGAAAATTCAGAACTTCATGAAAAAGTCAATGACAACTGTAAATTTTAGTTCAATTACTTCCTGAAAACTGGTAGATTTTAGAAATATTCCGGTAAGTATAGGGTTGCATTTTCAATTAATCGAAAACTCATCGTAATTTGGCACTGGATATTCATGATTTTATTGAAAACTTGAATAGGTTGAGGGTGTCTTATGTTGATGCTGTTCAAAAATTTGGAATTCCATCGAATTTTCAGTGAAATCTGAAATCTCATGAATTTTCTGCCACAAATCGTATGCAATGTCATTCCTCTGAAAATTACTCGTCGACTGTTGATGAAATTTCAATTTTTTTCCAACAGTGTATAACAGTGTACCAATAACTGATGATAAATCCCTAAAAATCAGCGACATGTCCTATCAATTCAGCGACAGGCTTCATAAAATAAAAAAAAATTCCCCCTGTCAACCCCCGAGATATGAAAAATCACTAGTCTACATCTCGCGTCACACTTCACTCCTGGGATGATGAACGTCCCTCAACATCCCTCAAATCACTCCCAACAGTGTTTCAAAAACATTCTACACGCTGAGAAAAAAAATTACATTTCCCAAGGAATCATTTTTTTGGGAGAAGAATTTATTTTTTACTATTGTACTTCATCTTTAAATATTACAATTACGTTGAATTATGAGCTGATTGCACTACATATATAACCTTGAATGTTTTCAGAGAATGAAAATTCAGAGAAATTGTTGCGTGAATTTTTAAATTATTTCATAATTTTCATTATCATGCGGACCTGGAAATTGAAATTTTATTGAATACTACAAAATTTAACTGATTTTTCAATCACAAAATATATGAAAATTTCGTGTAAGTGATGGTTAAAAATTTCAAGATTTTTTACTTGAAATTTCACGAGTAATTTTCTAACAGTGTACTCACATTCCAGTTTGATTTGAAATATTTTGATTTGCCTGTAGATCCTTGGATGAATCCGTAATTTCCTCACCAGCAGTTGGACGCGCTAAATACTATTACATATACTATCACGGAAACACTTCCACTTTCTCACGCAAAATAATGCCGAATAACTCTAAACGTTAATAACTGTCAATGAATCTCACTCAGTGTCATACCTAGCATAATCCTCCCACAATTCACAACAATTGTAATATTTTAAGACGGATTTTCAGATACACTCCCAAAGAGATAACTTCTCCCAAGAAAACAATCCCCTGCCGAAATAATTTGTTCTCACTGCACCTCGAGTCCCGCCCGTCCCTGCAACCCCCGTCAAGATGTTGTTACGCGTCTCGTCTATTTATCTCCTTCGTCACGCGCCGAAACGCGGTCTCGTGTGAGCAGCGGCACGCCGGCGATTATCCACACTCCCTCTGAATGCTCATCCACCCCAGCAGTATTTAAGAGGTCTCGCACACTCGAGCCTGAATCGCTCGTTCCGTTATTACTGCACGTGCTTCAGCACGTTTCTGATCTCGGTTGAACGACACGAGAACGTGACGTCGGCTCGACTCAGACCAACATGCAACCGTCGAAATACGTCGGCCCTATGCAAGAGTCACTCGCGGACTGCGCGCCGGTACTTCCGTGGTGATGGTGGAGCGCCCGCTAGAGTGAGAACAACCGAGTGAGCGAGAGCTCAGCGCGTGGGTGGAGGGGTAAACGCGCGCCCAACGCCCCTGACTCCCGTTTTGACGCTAGACCCCCACCCCTACCCCCTCCGTCTCATCCGTCTACCCCACCCCGCACGAGCCCTTTATCTCCTTGTCGCGCATGGTCGCGCACTCGCTCACTCTTTCCGGATCGCCACAACTTGAAACTCGGAGGATTCTCGCTCTCATCCATTCCCATTGGGAATTCTTCAGCTTTGTCTCACTGATCAACTTGGACCCATCTTATCCCTCTCAATTTCAAACTTCCTTGTCACGCAACTCATCCTCTCCCGACTGGTGTTTCCAATTCCACTGTTTCTCTATCTGCCGCGACAAGCTCGTGCAAATTTCTGACCCTATCTCATGTGAGAGTGAGGATTGAGGGGAGGGTGTGGGGTAAAAGGCTTTGGGAGTGATCCCGGAGCGGCCGTGGTGACCAGTCGGCGGGAGGGAGGGTGTTTTGTTAGCGACACGGTATTGTACAAAGTGGATATCCTTGGAGGGGGATGTGAAATTTGGAGGGGTATTGTTCGGCTGTGGGTGAGGATTATGATGGGGAGTTTGCTATTTTGGGTGTATTATTCTCGGAGAAATGATACCATTAATTCTCCCATCTAGCAAATTAAATGACATTTTTAAAAATAAGGAGGGAATCGAGCTACGTATTTGCCGTTGCCACATCTCGAATTTTGAATGAAGTAATAAAATGAAATAATAATAATTTGGCTGAAAGCCCTTGGGCGATCACCAGTGAAAATAAAATTAAAATAGATGATAATAATAATAATATTATTGAAAAAAACATTCATCAAGTCTCATATCGATGCTAAGTCCTTATGGGGGCGGAAACTGGGTTCATGACGGTAATTCCATGAAAATTAACGAAAATTAATGCAGTAAAGAACATTTTACTTTAGTCGTTATAGGATAAAATCGATTTGAAAATATTCTGAAGAGAATCATAAGTCGTTACGGGGACAGAAACTGGGTTCATGACGGCAATTTCATGAAAAATATTATAATACAAATCAGAAGAATTTACGTAAATATATTCTTGGATTTCCATTTAATTGATTGACAATTCTAATGAATTGGGGAATTCTCGACTTCCTGCTGCTAAAACTTGAAATTTCATTAGTTTTTTTCCCTTATGAATCGAATTAAATGTTCCTCTCCTGAAAATTACTGCTAAAATGCCTTCAAAATTTATAATTTTTTCTAAAAAAACATCACGTAAATGTATTCTTAGATTTTCAGTTAAATGTCAGTCAAAAAACATTCCATTTTATTCTTTGTTGGATTACAACATCTGTTTGAAAATCTTGTCCGAAAGTTAGAACAATAGCCCGAGGACGGGGACATGATCATACTGGGAGGACAACTCCAAAGTTATTCTCGAAAATGTAAAAACTATGTTGGAACAGTCAAATATGTTGGGTACTCCGTAAATGTATAACCTTGGACTTTTATCCTTCCGAATTCGTCGAGAATGTTATTTATAATTTCTCAGATACGGAGTTTTGCCGCATGAGGAATATATGGACTTATGCATAATTTATGGTAAGGAATTGAGCATGCACATTGTGCAGGGAGCCTATGAATTATTCAGGCCAAATTCATACATAAGTTATGGGAAGTTAACATTTCCTGATGTATTAAATGAACATGGAGTGGGGAGAAATGGACCTGCTAATTAAGTGGCTGATGTTGATATCATAGTCGATTGAATACGCGATGGTTGTCACTACAAAATTAATATGCAGTTCTTGGTTAAATATATCCAACCATCTTTTACAGTTTGATACAGATCACAGTATAAATTGAACCATCATCTAATTTGTCAATTAAATTGCGTGAAAAAAATGTGAAAAAAACAAATTTCAGCGTCATTTAAATACCATTTTGCATAGAGTCATTATTTTTAAAAATATTCTTTGCTTATAAATAAATAATTCGTGTTTATAAGTGAAACAAACGAATTATTCGTTGTTTATATGAATTATATGAGACAAAAATTTTAGGCAGTGTCTATTCGCACGCTCCACGGGGGTCCACGATCTCCTAGATATCCCTGGTAGAAATTACCTTGAATCCACGGGAAAACGTCCCGTATATCCACGGTCAAAGTTACCGTGGAGCGTGTGAATAGACACTGCCAAAATTTTATTAGAGTTTTCGTCTGTAAATGATTCCTTGGAGCTACTCACGATATGTCAGATCAATTTTGGGACACCTTGTATATCTGCACGCAGACAAAAGTAAGATGAAAATTCTAGATAGGCACGGAGAATTTTGATACAAATTCCTGAATTTTGAGAAAAATTATTTTGTTACGTCTCATTTTTCATGTTTTCATTTATTATGAATTCCATTTATGAATGCCCCATTCTCGACAGTCCTGTTGCATATAAAAAAATCCTCCAACTGAAGTATTTATCGAATAACTTACTAAGCTACTTACAAACCGTCAAATCGCCTATTTCCAAGTGGATGATTAAAGACTCGGCAATTTTCCCAGACAATTTTCTCATCACCCTTCTCCCCCTCATACTCCAGTCTATAAGTGGGAGCTCTTCTGTAATAAGGCTGTCATAAAAAGCTTACCAGAGCAGATAGGTCGAAAAAGGTTGTATAAAAGTAAAGTAGGTACAGAGTAGCTGTATTACAAGCACCAGTTCTCTTTTGTATGTGTCCGGGAAAATTTTTATGCATTTCGTTTCGTTGCCTCTCATGATCCATTGGGACAATGGCTCCAATGAATAATAATAAAGGGGGCATGCACAATCATGGGTGGTCACAATATAGCGCTTGACCGACTCTTTGTGATGTAAAATTTTTGTCAATACTGATGCTGTTCAGTTTGGGTTTCGTCTATTTCCCAAACTCCGTGACAAAACTCGGCTGTCTCTAGACTGTTGAAAGATTTTAGTTGATATTTCCAATGAAATTTGACAGAATTTCAGCAGTAGAAATTCATTATTTGATGGAAAAATCAATGGAAACGGCAATTTTATGTCTAGTATTGTAAGAAAATTAATCGAAATTAGAAAAAGTGAGGGAAATATATTTTTTACTTTTTTATTGATTAAAAATTCAACATAATTTGTTACTGAAAATCGATTCCCGGATTTTTTTTTCGTGAAAATTCCACCGGAAAATTTTTTCTTAAAAAAAACTCTAACTGAAATCTATAACAGAATAAAATTATGCCACAGTAAAATATCATCAATTTCATCAACTTTAAAACCATCAACAATTTTTCTCAGGAATTCCGGAAATTTTTCATTGTGAAAAAAAAACTTCAGCCACTCATTAAAAATCGAGTGAAAATTAACACGGAAAGAAAAATATACTTGAATTGAGCGTATTTTATACCAGAATTAAGTACATATATGAATCTGATTCAAGTATATTATTCTTGATTCGAGTATAAAATCAATAGCGAAGTGGTAAAACGGTACAAGTCAATTTTGACTATTGGCCAGTTTTCAATGAATATTATCTCGGAATCTAAGGAAGATAGCAAAATTTTCGTTATAACGTTTTTTGTAGAGCCGATTGAGTGCAACAACAAATGTAATTATGAAAATTTCGCTATTTCCCTTACATTCGGAAATATTCTTCAAGAACTCAACTGGGAGATAAGTCGACTTAAACCGTTTTACCACTTCGCTACTGAAATATACTTGATTCAAGTCACCTGTTCCCGAAATTTTGATTTTAAATTAAACTCAAAATTGACTCAGCATTCCTCTATACATCAAAGCGAGCATTGTCAAAATGGATTTACTGTCTCACTCACGTCGAAATGGTTGAATTAGCGTCCACCATCGCGCACTCCGTAATCACATCAATTAAACGAACTAATGTCACACAGGAACAAGTGCCTTCGTAGCACCCTTCATCTGCAGCAGTTGTACAGAATCTAACAAATTGTATGAGCTATTTTATGCAAACATCACAGAGAGCACAGAGAGCACAAATATTTGATAAATTTGTCTACTTGATGGGATCCATAACTGGATGAAATTAGGTTGCTGCTTCAAACAAGTCATCACAAAACGCCCACTTTTGTGAGCCCATTTCCCCGCAAAACCTCATACGGAGAGTACGTGAGGGAAATGTCGTCAGCTCACAGGCATACAACACCTTGGCGACGTGTTTCAGAAGCCACATGGTAATATCACGTTCAAGATGAATATGATGGTTTGTCCGCAGGCAACTTCCTTTACCTCTTGTAACCAGCTCCTTCCTTCGTAGCCCCGGGCCCATTTCAATTCATTATTTGTTCCTTGTCTCACCGCAGAATATTCACAGAACGATTATTTGTTATCGGATAAGGAGATGGAACCAGTCGAATGGACAATAAAATGTTGAAAATTACGGGAGATTTTCAGCAAAAAAGGGAAAATCAGTAGCAAAGCGATGAACCGGGTTAAGTCGATTTTGACTTTTGGTCACATTTTGGTGAATATATCTCGGGATCTAGGAGAGATAGCAAAATATTTCTCATGAGCTTTTTTATAACCCTTAATTGACTGTACAAAAAAGGTCATGACAAAAATTTTTCCATTTTTTTTAGATTCCAAAATATTCGTCAAAAACTGGCCAATGGTCAAAATGGAATTAACCCGGTTTACCGCTTCGCTACTGAAATCTTTTCATGTCACGGCTACGTCAAAAGTGTGACTTATTGCTTTGTTTTGCGTGCAACAAGTTGCGTATTATGACCTTATGCACTAAGCAATTACGCAATGCGATAAGTAACGTCTTGGGCGATAAACGTTGCAAGCACTACGCCATGACGAGAGCTGCAATGTGCGTTCAGTCTCGCTGACGTTGTCGTTGGTGGCCAAAGGGAATTTTTTCCATCTAAATTTCAGCCAATAAAATTCCACCATTCGA